TTTGTCTTTTTAATAACAGCCATTCTGACTAGTGTGAGATAGTATCCTATTGTGGTCTTGATTTGCATCTCTCTGATGATTAGTGATAGTGAGCATTTCTTCATACGCTTGTTGGCTGCTTATATGTCTTTTGAGAAGTATCTGTTCATGTTCTTTGCCTACTTTTTAATGGGGTTATTTAGTTTTCACTTGTTGAGTTGTTTAAGTTCTTTATATATTCTGGATATTAGACCTTTGTCAGATGCATAGTTTGCAAATATTTTCTCCCATTCTGTGAGTTGTCTGTTTATTCTGTTGATAGTTTCTTCAAAAGATATTTTTGAGGGCCTCAGGCTTCACAATTTCAGATCTAGATGATTTCTGTGTGTATAGCCTTCTAAAAATACAAATGTACACAAACGAATAACAGTTTGTGTTTAAGGTGCAACTACTAGGAACGCCTCAGTTACAAGTGGAAATTGATTCCTTTTTAACATGTGCAGACAGAAGCCATTTTAGTTGAGGCCTCAGAAATATAATTTAGCAATCAGAACCAATCAGCATTTGACACAATTTCATACACAATGATTTTAAGGAATTAGTGATGCTGAGATTAAAGCAACAAGTGATAGAGCTTGGCATATTTTGGTAAAGGTTTGTTTTGCTATTGGACAGGCTGACTTTACCTCTTTTGAACTTTCTGTTTACAAATGTGGTTAAGGAAAGGCAACTGAAAATGTACTGACCTTATTTTTATTGGTTATTATAATTTGCATGTGGCATTACATAATAAAATCACGTATTTGGATAGCAGACATCCTTAAAGTGATTTAGAGGTTTTTATTAAAATCCAAACCTTTTTATAAGTTGGGCTTCCAAGAAACTACACTTTTATTTAAAATTGTCCTCTTCCATTGGCTTGTCAATTATAGCCCTGGGCTGTACAGGCTATATGTTATTTCTGAAAATGAGAATTGGAAAGTAAGTTTTGTCTTTGTGAGTGTTAAAGTGAACTTACGTTAGTATTTTCATTTGCTTTGTTTTTATCACCTTTAAGAGACAAAATTCAGTATGAGATCTTATAAGATTTGCGTCATCATGGAATATTTTCAAATACCTGGTATATTATTTTTATTTTAAAAAAATTTGTTTGAGACAGGATCTCTCTCTGTCATCCTGGCTGGAGTGCTGTGGCGCAGTCACAGCTCACTGCAACCTCAACTAACTGGGCTCCAGCCGTCTTCCTACCTCAGCCTCCTGAGTAGCTGTGGCTGTAGGCACATACCACCACTCCCAGCTAATTTTTGTATTTTTGGTAGAGACAGGGTTGTGTCATGCTGCTGCCGCTGGTCTCGAACTCCTGATCTCAAGCAATCCACCTGCCTCAGCCACCCAAAGTGCTGGGATTACAGGCATGAGTCACCATGTCCAGCCTATATTTATTTTTTAACAGCACAAATGTTCCTTGAAGGTTAGATTTAGCTAGCTGGTTAGCATTTATTGGGAGAACAAAGGGTTAAACCAAATGTACTTTACAAAATTGAATTGAAGCAAAGCATATATTTAATATGATTAGGGCCTATTTCCTACATAGAAGAGTTTTGTTTAAAATACACCGTGACCAAAAGCTTAATTATCAAAATAAAACAAGAAGCATAAAGACTTACAGGCTTCTAATATTTTTTTCAGCCCCAGTTCCCTTCACACAGTTATCAGCATGTTTAATTTCCATGCATAATAGCACTAGTTATTGTTGTCATTTGTAAAGGGAGATTAACAGATAGTAAGTACAAACAAACCCAAATAAGCACTGAATAGAGAGGTGACAAAGGAAAAAAGACCTCTTTAATGTTAATTATAACTGGTAGGAAGTCTAGACAAATTATATTATCTGTTTTCTATATGATTTGAAAGGACATTTAGTTAGTACCTCTGTCAGAGCTAGAGTTAGGTGTTTGCTTTAAAAAACAGGTGAGTTGATAACTTAGCATCTCCCTGGTTGGCAGCTCCCCTACTGAGTTGTGAAGTTGTAAATTGACAGAATCAAGTTTTAAAAACATCTGAAAAGAACTCTGTGGTTTTTGAACATTGTATTTTTAAAATTTAAAAATAATTTTAATATCCAGGTTATATTTTGGAACTGAGTAATTTCTTGTCTCAAAACATGGTAGTTGTTACTGTCTGCTTAATTTTTTTAGTTTTGTTTAGAATTGGATGAATTGCAGCTATGACTAGCAGTGTTAACTAACTACATGTTCCAAAGCATATAAAGCCTCAGATATCAAATATAAAGTAAAAATCACAAATGAATGATAAAGGAGTGGTCCAGTCCTGTACGGTTTGTTTCTTTTATTAATATACCTGAATGGGTACTTCAAGAAACAGCTAGTCTTACTTTTAGTGTTTATAGGCTACATTTAAAATGTAATACCTGTTCCTGCTGTCAGCTCCACTATTCCCCACTGTATTCCCCCATGCCTGCCTAGAACAGACTAAACCAAAGTATCTTGTTTCCTTTTTTTTTGAGACAGAATCTCATTCTGTTGCCCAAGCTGGAGTGCAATGGCATGATCTCGGCTCACTGCAACCTCTGCCTCCTTGGTTCAAGTGATTCTTCTGCCTCAGCCTCCTGAGTAGCTGGGACTACAGGCAAATGCAACCATGCCTGGCTAATGTTTTGTATTTTTAGTAGAGACGGGGTTTCACCGTGTTAGCCAGGATGGTCTCGATCTGCTGACCTCGTACTTGCCTGCCTCGGCCTCCCAAAGTGCTGAGATTCTAGGCGTGAGCCACCACACCCAGCCAGTATCTTGTTTCTTTAATTCTAAGGAGCTGATTGTGAGCTGCACTCCTGACTTAACAGCTTTTTTGAAGGAACTAAAGTACATTATTAAGCTGTACATGTCCGTTATAAATGCATCTGAGTTTTAGAAATATTAAAATGTGAATATAAATGTCTCTTTAAATCAAGAAGATGTTGAAATACACCCTTAAAATTAAAACAAACAGCTGCCTGTGACTCAGAACCACTGATTCTTTTTTCTTGTTCCTAATTTTTTGCTGTGGTCGTAGTAGTTTATCTCAGACACTAATCTATCCCTTCTCTGTATTGCTAGCATTTATTGTTGGTACCACACAACTTGGTTCTCAAAGCCAAGCCATACTGAATTGCTTCTATAGTCTTTACGTGTGTGGACCTTGCTGTCCTATTTAGATTGTAATTTCCTGAAAGTGTACCTCGGGCCCTTTTGCCTATTCTTCACAATATTTAATATAATTCTGGGCATTTATTACAAGTTTCATTAAGAACTCATTGAGACCCTCCCTCTACCTGAGAAGCTTATATTAAATTTTAAAATAGTTTAGCCTTGAATGAAGGTAGGAATAATGCTTACTGTGGGTGTATTGACTAGATGAATTTTATATTCTTTAAAGGTAGCATAATTCTTTTATAGTCATAAAGCTCTGTAATATACTTTACCTCTTTGTGATAGTCTTAAATGGAGCAAGAACTGATTCTTGGTGCTTTCCCCTGAGTTTTGTTATAGCTACTTCCAAAAAAAGCCTATTCTGAGGAATGAGGTCAAGCAACACAGCAGCAAGTGAGGGCATCCCTCAGTTTTGGATCAGCACCGCATGGCAACATTAGTGGCAGACTAAAGTACCTGACTTAATGAAACAACATTCATGTATATACCGCTCTTGTCTAAGGGGAAAAGACCAAGAAGATGTTTGGTCTGGAAACAGGGAATGGAGTTATGCATGTTACTGATTCCTTTATTAATGATATCACAGCATAGCTTTCTAGCCTTCATTCTTTGACATATGTTGTTCTTTCTGCATAAGTTGTCTTTTCTGCCTTCTCTACCTACTAAACTTCTAGTCATTCTTCAAGACCAGTTCAGAAGTTGCCGTGTCTCAAAATGTTCCAGGATCTACAGATAGTGAGGTCCTTACTGGGGATTCCCCAGGTGAGAACACCATGGGACAAGGCAGCAGCATACCTTGTTCACCTTTATACCCCAGCACCTCACCCTAACATTTGCCTTATGCCTTTGTGGCAATACATGTAGCATCAAAGCACCTTGGTGCCTTAGTGTGAACAGCTGAGCTTTGCTTGACCCCATTTGTGAAGTCTTGTCTCCTTTGTTTAACAGATAACATTTTCTAAGAAACACAATGCTGATTTAAGGTCATAGGCATAGTCTTGTCACATCTCTATGAGAAAATTCAAAGGAGAACAGCAAGGGAGAGTAACTGAAGAAGAAAAGTGAGAAGAGGTTTCTAAAGACAGAGAAGTGAGCAATAGCTGTAGTATTTCAAACCTCTGGAAAATAGTGGTCAGTTGAAGTTGTCCTTGAAAACACTGCAGCTAGTTTTATGTCTCTAGAAAGTACATATACGAGAATCTGTTTTTGTTTACAGGAAATAATTGATTTTATTTATTAAATGTTTCTTTTATGCCAAATATAGTTTTAGATGCTCTAAATGTGTTGCATCATTGCAAAAACCCTATATGGTAAGCACTGTGGTATCCATTTTACAGAGAAGGAAGCAGCACAGCAATTAAGTAACTAGCCAGAAGTCACTCAGTTATTGGGAAGGTTATAAATCTATGTGGTACATTCTTTACTTTGGTAGTGGCCTTTACTAAGGAACTAAAACACGCTGGTTTACATTCTGCCTGTAGTAGAAGCTTTTGTTGGGAGGTTTTGATATATTTGAGTGGGGAAAGGTGTTTCTTTTAAAAAAAGAAATAACAACTCGTGTGTGTGTGTGTGTGTGTGTGTGTGTGTGTGTGTGTGTGGTCTTTTTTTTTAAACTTGGTGGGTTTCCTAACTTCTAAGTTGGGGGCATAGATCTAATTAACATGTCAGGAGAGACAGATAACTAGAGCTATGTCAGAATTTCTGAGAAAAGATTAAATAAAATGAGTCTATCTTGATAACCAAAAAAAGGTTTATTACTTGTATTTGTGGATCGTTATGATAAGTCTGAAGATTTCCCTTCTTTCTCTCCAGGGCTGGTTGATATGTGAGGAGCCAACCTGTCGTAATCGAACTCGGCACCTTCCCCTTCAATTCTCCCGTACCGGGCCTCTTTGCCCAGCCTGCATGAAAGCTACACTTCAACCAGAGGTAACAGTCTCATAATGCTAAAGGACCATGTAGAACAGAGTAGAGGGCTGCCGCTTTGAGAAGTAGATACTGAGTATTTGCCCTATGGAGACACTCTACCTACCATATGATCATACTACTCTTTAAAAAAAAAATACAGATTTCAAAAAGTTATGCTTTCTTTTTTTACATGTCATGAGCAATACTGTATTTGTATTTAAAAGGGAAACTGACTAGTTATCATATGGGTTATACAGATTTCTTTGATTGCCACTACATAATTACAAAAGAAGATATGGCCATTCCATTCTAGAAACTGCTATCATCTTTGGACTTGATCAGAATCCCATTTGTAAGAGCCAGAAAACCTCCCAATTCGGTGCCATGCATGGTTTATTTTGTGGGTTTTTTTGGTTCCCTCTGCCAGATTAGTTATTTATAAGTAGCTGCATACATCAGTATTTCTCAAGCCATTTTTTTTGTTTGTTTGTTTTGTATTTTGTTGTTGTTGTTGTTGTTGTTTTGTGAGTCGGATTCTCACTCTGTTGCCAAGCTCGAGTGCAGTGGTGCGATCCCGGTTCACTGCAACCTCCACCTTCTGAGTTCAATTGATTCTCCTGCCTCAGTCTCTCAAGTAACAGGGACTACAGGCATGCGCCACCATGCCTGGCTAATTTTTGTATTTTTAGTAGAGACAGGGTTTCACCATGTTGGCCAGCATGGTCTCAATTTCTTGACCTTGTGATTCACCTGCCTCGGCCTCCTAAAGTGCTGAGATTATAGGCATGAACCACCACGCCCAGCCTGTTTTGCCTTTTTGAGATGGAGTCTAGCTCTGTAGCCCTGGCTAGAGTGCAGTGGCCCAATCTCAGCTTACTGCGATGTCCACTTCCCAGGTTCAAGTGATTTTTCTCTCTCAGCCTCCTAAATACCTGGGACTACAGGCATGAGCCACCGTGCCCGGCCACTCAAGCCATTTTTCTTTTTTTTTTTTTTTTTGAGACGGAGTTTCACTCTTGTTACCCAGGCTGGAGTGCAATGGCGCGATCTCGGCTCACCGCAACCTCCGCCTCCTGGGCTCAGGCAATTCTCCTGCCTCAGCCTCCTGAGTAGCTGGGATTACAGGCACGCGCCACCATGCCCAGCTAATTTTTTGTATTTTTAGTAGAGACAGGGTTTCACCATGTTGACCTGGATGGTCTCAATCTCTTGACCTCGTGATCCACCCGCCTCGGCCTCCCAAAGTGCTGGGATTACAGGCATGAGCCACTGCGCCCGGCGCCATTTTTCTATTGTAATATACACACCTGAGGTATAAGACATGCTGTCATTAGTGACTCCCAACTGGAAAGCATAGCATCTGGAAACACCTCTCTGGTAATTAAGATGACTTCCCTCTGTTGACCCCTTTGAGCATCTTCGACCCAAGCAGCATTTCCCAAACTGTAGTGAGATGTTTGCAGGTCTTTTGAGCAAAGAAGGTTTTGTGATCAAGTATGTCTAGTAGATGCCAAGCTAGCCAAAATTAAACAAGTTTATTGTTGATCTTCTCAGAACCTAAAATATGATAATGTACAATCTGTCTCACATTATGGACCTAGGATAGGTGCTTCACTTTTCAAATTTGTCTAGCTTGAAGATTTGTAAGGTTTTTAGTGAGAAGAAGGTGAGACTTGGGATGCTGTTGTTAATTTACTTATTTTTTAAATGCAGAGGCAGGTCTGTAATCAAGTTTTGACTTCAAATTTTTCTGCTCAAAAGGGTTGATACACAGACTGGTTTTAGAAAAATATGTAAACACATTTTTAGAAATGGAATCTTGCTATGTTGTCCAGGTTGGAATGAAGTGGCTATTCACAGGCACAATCATGGCTCACTGCATCCTTGAATTCCTAGGCTCGAGTAATCCTTTTGCCTCAGCCTTCTGAGTAGCTGGGACTACAGGCACTTGCCCAGCTAAAAATATTTTATTTTTAAGAAATAATGGCTTTTAATTTTAGGGTAATATATCGTTTCCCAAAATTTGGCGAGTAGTCAGGAACTGCAAATAGCTACCATCACTGTGTATTCAGTTGTTCTTTTGCATATCCATATGTATTTTTTACATGGTTGCCATCACAATGAAGATATGTTCTTGTATCATATTTATCTTTTGTCGAGCATTTTTCTCTGTTGCACTTCATTTTCAATACCAAAAAAAAAATTTTTTTTGTTTTGGGGACAGAGTCTCAACTGTTGCCCAGACTGGAGTGCAATGACACAGTCTTGGCTCACTGCAACTTCCACCTCCCAGGTTCAAGCAATTCTCCTGTCTCAGCCTCCTGAGTAGCTGGGATTGTAGCTACATGCCACCACACCCAGCTAATTTGTATTTTTAGTAGAGACAAGATTTTCACCACGTTGGCCAGGCTGCTCTTGAACTCCTAACTTGTGACTCACCTGCCTTGGCTTCCCAAAGTGCTGGGATTATAGGCATGAGTGACCACATCTGGCCTCCAGCACCAAAAATTTTTAAACACAAATTTATACCTCCCATTGGGCATTTTAAGCTACTTTTCAGTATCTCTTCACTGGAAATTTTGTGATTAATATTTTTCTACTTAAATGATTTTTCCTTTATTTGACATTTAGGATAAGTTCTTATCAACAATACATACATACATTGCTTAAATACAATATGCTCATGATTTATATTGCCAAATTGCTTTCCTAATGGGGTATCCCAACTTATACTGCGTACCAGTACTTTATGAACATACTAGTTTTACAATAGCCTTTCTAGCATTCAGACACTATCATTTATTTTTTTAAAACCATTTTGATAAGCATAAAATGTTCTTTGCCCTTTTTTTGGTATTCCTTTGATGATTAGCAAATTTTTAAAAAAATGTGGAACATGTTAGAATTAGCTGTCATAGTGAATTATTTTTACGTCAGTCTTGTCTCAAGACTTGCATCAGCAGGTGCAGAGAGAGAACAAAAGTATATATATTTAATGTGACTCATCAATCCGGTTGTAGGCTTTAGGAGAATCACTTGCTTCTTGAACTGATGCTGCCTTTGAGACTTTTTAAGTCTCTAACTCCTAACTCATCAAGTTAAGTTCAGTGAAAATTGAATTACTTTTTAGAAAATCAACCAGTTTTATGATTGCATTCTTGGTAAGAGAAGCTAAAAGGTTAGTGTATAACCATTAGATTGTTAAGCTATTAGACTGATACATTTTGATGATGATGTTAATAATAGTTTAATATATCAGGTTATCTCTTATTATTTATTAATCTTTTTAAATTTCGTAGTGACTTGTTTTTTTCTTCATATCCTTGTCCTTCTCAAAACTGCGGCATTTTAGGCATATGTTTCTCAAGGTTATCAGCTATTCTTCCCAAGGAGAAGCTTTCGTAGATTAGCTCCTCTGGTTCCAGTGCCTCTCAGGGTATGACCCTGTGGAGTTACTCAGTTTCAGAGCAGGCTGGTTGGTGATACTTTTTTTTAGCCATTCCTGAACAGGGACCTTGACAGTGGGACTTAGGACACTCTTATGTACTCAATTTTGAGTTGCCAAAAATGGGTGAGGAATTTTTTAATTCTTTTTGTGAGGTTCCTGGGCTTTTCTAATAGAAGGGAGAAAATGCATTTTTCCAAAATCAATTTCTAGAGAAGTTCAAAAAACAATTGTGCAGTGGACAGAATTATTGTAATCACCAGAAGGTTTTCCAAACCTCTGGTATTTTGCAGGATTATACCTATCTGGTTCTTAAGCTCTCAGTTGCTCTGTCTCAATCATACCTTACTTTCATTTAATAATTATTTATTAAACACCTACATCCTACGGCACTTTGCTAGGTGGTGGAAACATGTTAATGAACAGAACATTTCTTTATTATAAAACTATTTTAGCATTACATAGATTATATAAAATTAATATCTGTGGGCAAAAATAGGCATTTATAAATATCTGTTTGGACAGAACACTAGACATTCCTAGTAGTAGACTAGTGGGATCTTTATGTTGTTCAAGTTTGATGGTAAAGCACTAGCCTCTTAATGTGCCAGTCTCACTCATCTGCACATAATAAACCTGCTCTCATGAAGTCCTAGGTTGCAGTTGACTTGAGTACTTTCCAGAATTGACTTGACAATATATATTTTCCTCTCCCTCTCCCCTCCCTCCCTCTTTCTTCCCTCCCCCTCCCCCCTTCCCCTTCCCTTCCCTCTTTTCCTTTTTTTTGGTCTGGAGACAGAGTCTCGCACTATCGCCCAGGCTGGAGTGTAGTGGTGTGATCTCTACTCACTACAACCTCCGCCTTCTGGGTTTGAGTGATTCTCCCGCCTAAACCTCCTGAGTAGCTGGGATTACAGGCATCCACCACCACGCCTGGCTGATTTTTTGTATTTTTAGTAGAGACGGGGTTGCACTACGTTGGCCAGGCTGTTCTTGAACTCCTGCCCTTGTGATCCACCCACCTCGGCCTCCAAAGTGCTGGGAGTAAATGCCTGAACTACTCTACCCGGCCTTGTATCTCTTTATTTTAAGAATGTAGTTTTGACTTTTTAATGTAGCGAAATGTGTGTGAATGTGTATGGAATGCCTTCACAGAGGATTCTTTATTAGTAATTCACCAAAAATAAAGCTTTCTGGGTTTGTTGTTGTTATTATTATTATTAATCTTTAATTGTAGAACTAGGATTTCAAACCAAGTTAAATTTTTTCTCATTAACACATTCATTCTTGATGTAGAGCCAAGAAAATGTCTGTATGTGGCTCTCTCAGTCATGGTAGAAATAATCTGTGAAATTGCACTTTCCCTGGAGCAGGAACAGTATAGTGGAACCCTGTATTCTATTATTTAATCAACTAAATTTCTGGAAAGTCCCTTATACGGAAAGGAGTAAAATGATTTCTGGTCCTACTTTGGGAAACCACCTTGTGTTTCTCACATTTTCCTCACATGTAAAATTGCTAGGGTCTTGTATAACAGAACATGTATACCATAGAGGACTTCTGTTTTTAAAGGGAG